TTGAATGAATGAATGAATGAATGAATGAATGAATGAATGAATGAACAAAAGGGGGTGGGGAGAACACCAAATAATCAATCAGGCCTGTTGCCCAGCCAGAGCTACAGAATGATGAGCACAGTTGTGACAGATTGGGGGGGGGAGAGAAAAATGGCCTGGGGAGATTGGTTTATTTGAGTCCTTGTAGGATTCCTACAAGTACCTAGACAGCATGATAAAAAGTAGAGACATCACCCTGCCAACAAAAGTCTGTATGGTCAAAGCACTGGTATTCCTAGTAGTCATGTATGGCTGCGAGAGTTGGACCATGAGGAAGGCCGAGCGCCGAAGAATAGATGCTTTCGAATTATGGTGCTGGAGAAGACTCAAATTATGGTGCAAGGAGATCGAGAAGAAGAAGAGAAGAGATTGGATTTATACCCCGCCCTTCACTCGGAGTCTCAGAGCGGCTTACAAACTCATTTCCCTTCCCTTACCCACACCAGACACCCTGTGAGGTAGGTGGGGCTGAGCAAGCTCTTTCCAGAACTGTCCTTGAGAGAACAGCTCTGACAGAACTATGGCTTGCCCAAGGTCATCCAGCAGCTGCAAGTGGAGGAGTGGGGAATCAAACCCGGTTCTCCCAGATTAGAGTCAGCAGAATCAACCCTGACTGTTCCCTGGAAGGCCAGATACTGAAGCTGAAGCTCAAATACTTTGGCCACCAAATGAGAAGGGAGCACTCACTGGAGAAGACCCTGATGCTGGGAAAGATTGAAGGTAAAAGAAGAAGGGGACAGCAAAGGATGAGATGGTTAGACAGTGTTACCGATGCAACAAACATGAAATTAGGCAAACTCCGGAGGACAGCGGAAGATAGAAGGGCCTGGCATGATGTGGTCCATGGGGTCAACTGTGCAACTGAACAACAACAATAAGGATTCTGAAGAGGGTTGGGGGACTCTACCAGCCCAAATACACCAATACCAGTCCACGGTGCTATGAGGTCTAAGGGCCTGGACCACTTTGTACATAACAGAGACAAGTTGTGTGGATTACTTAGGACTCGGGTTGCCAACCTCCATATGGTGGCTGGAGATCTCCTAGCATGACAACGAGGGTTGCCACCTCTGGGTTGGGAAATACTTCATGATTTGGGGAGTGGAGCCTGAGGAGGGCGGGGTTTGGCGAGGGGAGGGACGTCAATGGGGTGTCTGCCCCAGCATGTGTTATTCAAAAGTATGCCGCTACAAAAAGTGGAGCTTCCATTTAGTTATCATTTTGGTTAGATATACCTATTTTCCAAAAAAAAAAGCCTAATGCTTTTATGAATGTCATTTAAGTTAATAACTTATAAGCACATCTTGTGATAGTAAATTAATAGTAAAGATTTTTTTAAAAACTTTTTGTCTCCATTCCATCAACCATGAAGAACACTTGCTTGGCAAGGTAGAAGGTATGAGCCAGTAAAATAGGAGCATGCAGTTCACCTGGAGAAAATGGCTGCTTTGGAAGGTGGACTGTATGGCATTATACCCCAATGAAGTCTCTCCCTTCCCGTCCCCAAACCTTCCCATCCTCGGGCTCCATCCCCCAAATCTCCAGGTATTTCCCAACCTGGAGCTGGCAATCACTCTTTGGGTGAAGAAGTACTTCCTTTTATCCGTTCTAACCCAAACGCTCAGCAATTTCATGCAGTGCCCAGGAGTTCTTGTATTATGAGAAAGGGAGAAAAGTACCTCTTTCTCTACCTGCTCTATCCCACGCATAATCTTATAAACCTCGATCATGTCACCCCAGCTCACAACTTTAATGCCAGTAGCTCAGAAAGTAGAATTTGTGCTCACAGGACTCCACAGCTTGGGCACTCAATGAAATTGCTGAGCGGTCAGGTTAGAACGGATAAAAGGAAGTACTTCTTCACCCAAAGAGTGATTAACACATGGAATTCGCTGCCACAGGAAGTGGTGGCGGCTACAAGCATGGACGGCTTCAAAAGGGAGTTAGATAAGCATATGGAGCAGAGGTCCATCAGTGGCTATTAGCCACAAGGTATAGGTAGGGGCTCTGGGGCAAGTGATGCTCTGTCTTCTTGGTGCTTGGGGGGGGGTCAACAGTGGGAGGGCTTCTAATGTCCTGCCCCCACTGGTGGACCTCCTAATGGCACTGGTATTTCTGGCCACTGTGTGACACAGAGTGTTGGACTGGATGGGCCTTTGTTATGTTAACCCTCCTTAGGGCTGAAGGAAAAGCACATCCTTTGATCCTAATCAATCACTTCCTCCCCCCCCCTTAAATGGCAAAGATAGAAGGCAGAGCCTATAACACTATACAGTATCCTGGAATTGTGTATGTATAAAATTAGGGATGGGGAAGGTATGCCGCGAGAAATATATTCCAGTGTTCCAACTTCTCCTTCCCTAAAAAAAATAAAAAGCTGTCCCATACAGCACACAAAGGGATAACAATAGCCTCCCACTGTACTGTCCCTGATAACCTGTCCCTGATCCTCCACAGTTGGGGGCTGGAAGCTAATATTCCATTCGACTGACAGAGGCATGTTCCTCTCCAGAGGAAATCATCACCTTGCACCAGAGGAGGGCTCCACCATTCGTGGAATGGAATCTCTGGATACAACACAATAGAATCATGGAGCTACAGTTCTAGATTGCTGAGGTCCACAGTTAGGTAAGTAAGCTACACCTGGAACTCAGCAGGCTCACACCAAGGTGCTGTTGTGAGTGCAGGGAATTCTCAGTAGTTTCTCTTCTGGGCTGGGACTCCTGCAAAACAGCATTTTTTAAAACTAGCTTTGGTACAGATACTCACATGCTCCTGAGAAAGCTAGGCTATGAATACCATAAATAAATAAATACCTGTTTTCTAACTCACATTTTGGAACCACTTGATTTGTTTGCAGCTTTATTCTTCCCACTCAAGGAAAAGGAAGAACAATGCTGCATGTAAATGAAGTGTTCAATGTGATTGTGACAAACTGCTTCCAGTTTCAACGGCTTTCCATTGGGGGGGGGGCAGTCAAGCCATATTTACATCCTAAACAGTATGTTTTTTGCCAGCAAGCTACAAGCAGTAAGTGGTTAACAAGTGTTTCCGCTTGATGGAACTGAGATCTGTAACCCTTAGCCAGGGCTATTTTTGGGCAGGAACGCACAGGAACGGAGTTCCAGCTGGCTCCCGAGTTGGCCATGCCCAGCAGGAACTCATTAGCATAACAGGCCATACCCAACAGCAGGAACTCATTAGGATTGGCTACATTAGAGGTGTGTGGCCTAACATGCAAAGGAGTTCCTGCTGCAAAAAAAGGCCCCGGGTTTTGACAACAAACAAGGTAAACAGAATAAGAAGCAAAAGGTGGGTGTGGCTGGATAACCATACTTCTGGTAACATGTGGGTGTGGCCTAATGTGCTAATGAGCTGTGCTGTCAGGGGTGTGGCCTAATATGCTAATGAGTTTCTACTGTTGAGTGTGGCCTATTATGCTAATGCTAATGAGTTCCTGCTGGGCTTTTTCTACAAAAAGAGCCCTGCTTAGGACCAACCCTAGAGCGTATAGTGCCTCCAAGCGAGTAGAATCTTTAAGCCCTCAATTTGTTCAACTAGACACCTGATTTGCATGCAAGATCTATCACTGTAAATCTGTATTTATTTGTGCCATACAAATAATAACCAAATAAAAATTATTTTTCCAGAAACGGAATTATGCACCAGTGTTGAATAGTGTTGCAGTAAGGTATTATCGGCTTTACAACAGAAGATGAATGAGCTCTTTTTTTCCTTTTACCTGTGGAGTAGATAGTTGAGTAGATTGCCTGGATTAACAAGTTTTCAGTCCAATGCTATGCAGAAGTACTTTGGTTTAAACACATGGGTTTAGGCTGGAGTAACTCTGATAAGGACCGTCACAAGTGGTCACCTGGATGACCTTCCCCTGAACTGATCAGAGTCATGCCTAATAAGGACCAACCAAAATGTTACAACATTTCCTGGAACTCTTCATCAGGTTGGATGTTCAGTAAAAACACAAATTGGGGGGTGGGGTGAGAAAAGATGTTTCGGGGCACAGGGAAAACTTCCCTTTTAATTTCTTTAAAAGACTGAACATCCCTGCCTGATGAAGAGTTCTTGAAAACTTGAAACATGCAGTTGTGTGATATTTATTGGTGGTGGAAAGTGCTGTCAAGTCGCAGCCAACTTATCGTGACCCCGTAGGGTTTTCCAGGCAACAGAGGCATGGCAACCCTGCATGGCAACCCTGGTATTCCTTGGTGGTCTCCCACCTGCATAATAAACAGCAGTGTTCCCTCTAAGCTGAGTTAGTGTGAGCTAGCTCACAGTTTTTTTAGCCTCCGGCTCACACATTTTTGTCTCAGCTCAGGAAGGATGGCTCCAAAGCAGACTGATTTATGCCATCGCCAAATCGCTCGCTCACAACTTTAATGCCAGTAGCTCACAAAGCAGAATTTTTGCTCACAAGATTCCACAGCTTAGAGGGAACATTGATAAACAGGGCAGACCCTGCTTAAGCTTTTGAGATCTGACGAGGTCATGCTAACCTGGGCCATTTTCAGAGCTGTTTATTGGTTGTATTAATATTGGTATTATTACACAACCGGATTCCACCCCCCACCCCCACCCCCATGGACCAACAAGGTTACCTACAACCTTTGCCCCTGAACTGGGAAATGGAGCGGGTCTAGTGGAATTTAGATCTTCGCTAATGTTGACATTCGAAGTGAATTGAACTGAACTATAAGAGCCACATCTGTGGCAAGAGATGCCTAATTCGACCCCCCTGACTTCGCATCAATAGTGACTCTTTCTCTTTAAATAAATAAGGGGGGGGGGAGACTCGCTGTTAGCTAGACTTTTTGACGGCGGACAAAAAAAGAGGGGAAGGCAACAATTTCCCAGTTCCCTTTAATTTCCTTTTGGGCTCCATTTAAAGGGGAGGTCAAGGCTAAGGAAGAGGATGGGCAGGGAAGAGGAGGGGGAGGGGAGTTTCCCCCCCTACTGCTGCTGCTTCCCTGCGAAGGCAGCTGAAAGTTGGGAAGGGACTTTTTCAAAAAAAATCTCCCCGGAACCACACTGGACGAGGCGGGCGGTGCAGGTGAGAGTCCGCCTGGAGAAAAGGAAGGGAAGGGAGTCGCTTGGCCGGAGAGATCTGGGTGCGATTCTCGGGAAGAGCAGAGGGGCTCGCGTGCAGGTGGTGGGAAACAAAGAGGCAGAAGTAAATCCCGGGGGGTGTGGGGTGGTGGGAGAAGCGGGGAGAACTCACCGTAGTAGGGTCGTGCTCCGTGGATGCCTTGCGTGCCGATCCCACCTGCCCGGCAGGGCTTCAGCCCCCGCGCCTGCGGCGTGCCCAGTGCCGGGAAAAAAAAACCGGCTCGGGGACGGCGCCTAAGGGTCTCTGCGAAGCCTGTAGCCATCCCGGTTGGCTTCTCCAGAAAGGGTTGGGGGGGGCAGGATGCCAGGGGGCTCTTGGAGGGGGCTGGGTGGGTTTTAAAGGACGCCGGGCCTTCCCGGGGGAAGAGTAGGGTGAAGGCAGTGCCGGATTTACGCATAAACTAAATAAGCTACAGCTTAGGGCTTCGCAATCTGCTGGGGCCTCAAATAAAAACACAATATAAAAATGATTTCAAATATTAAAAAAGGCGTATATATTTAAAATTTTTCTGAGACCAGCTGATGTAATTTAAAACAGTAGGGGGCCTCTGGGTTTTGTATAGCTTAGGGCCTCAGCAAGTCTAAATCCGGCCCTGGGTGAAGGGATGGGGGACGCCTGGGTTTCCTGATAAGGAAATGAGCACTCTTGGACAGGATGGGATGATGGAACACCCCTCCACTGGGTTGGGAGACTGGCTCCTCCGCACATGGAGTGGGGCCTAGTAAGTTCGAGGAGGGGTTAGGTCGGGCGGTTGAATTGCATTGTGGGGACGGCAGACTCAAGGCCCACCTCGACCTTCTCTTTCCTGCAGCGCCTAGCCAGATACCTCTGGGTGCTCACGAGGAGGGCGTGAAGAAAATGGCCTTTCCCTCTTTGTCATTTACCCAGTGTGTTGCATTTAGAGGTATACTGCTCCTGTACATGGAGGTTCCATTGTACAAGGAATAAGCAGAGCCTAACGAAGGGGAGTCGCTTTGGAGCTGAAGTGCCCCAGTCCTTTTGGGAACAAAGTGAGTGTGGGGTGTGTGTGTGTGGGGGGGAAAGTAGTGAGCTTAGAGCCAGAATTCCCCAAGGACCTTGAGTAGACAGAAGAACAAATGGATTTCTAAAAGAGAAATTGGAGACTGGGTGATTGCAGGACTGGGGTCTAGCACACCCAAGGCTTCTAGAGAGAAGCTGGTTATGACAGAGAAGCTGGAAATTGAATTTTCCCAGAAGGAGGTATATGCATGGGGGGTGGGGTGGGTGTATGTGGCATCAAATTTGTGTCAGAATCGTGCACCAAAGTGATGTTTTAAGCCAAGGCTGCATTTTATTCCATTTTACCTTTCCTCCCCTCCTTTCCTAGTATTCCCATGATCTCCTTTCTCATTTTCTGTTTTTTTCTTTTCTTTTCCTAAGGGCAGATGCTGAGAAGCTGGCACTGTGATGCTTTGGACTAACTGATGGAAACAGAGCTGATTACAGTAAAGGAAGAAACTGGATCAGTAACTCTCCCGACCTGCTGCCTGTGCCAGGAGGAGCTACCAGACCTTGCTGGATCCCCAGGGCAGATTCCACAATGCCAGGCCTGCAAAAGCATTGTCTTGGAGCCCAGGAACTGGTTGCCTGACAGCCAAGAGGCCCAGGCCTTCCCTGCTGACAGACCTTTCGGTTGCTCTTTCTGCCCCAAGCGCTTCAAGAGGGCCTCAGACCGGCGCGACCATGAGCGGGTGCATACGGGAGAAAGGCCCTACGGCTGCGGTATCTGTGGCAAGCGCTTTACTCAGAGCTCAGTGCTTTCTGGCCACATGCGCATCCATACTGGTGAGCGGCCTTTTCACTGTGCTGTCTGCTTAAAGTCTTTCAACAACGGCTCCAATTTTCGCAAGCACCAACGTATCCATGATCAACCGTGTGAATATGGTGCCAAGGGGAAGGGTGGGAAGGACTGTCCCATCCTTCCTGGGAAGAAGCAGCGTCAAGCCACGGATAGGCAAGATGGCAGAAACCAGTGGCAGGGCAAGATACTGAGGCAAAATGGCCACCAAAGCATCAAGGAACTGAGGGAAGGTGGCAACAGGGGCCATGACATTGTTGAGAGACAAAATGGCCCTCATGTGAATGGGCTTCTAGGCCAAGATGGTGGCAACCATGGTCTAAGGCAACTTGGTAATAAGGTAGGCCATTTCAAGAGAACGAAAGTTAGGCAAGGTGCCACTTACTGTGGCCCTGACCTTGAAATGAGACCTAGAAGTGGCCAAGTTAAGACAGGTGATGGCAAAGGACATGTTGGTGAACAGGGGGGAAATGGAAATTGCAGCCTTGAACAAGGGGAAACTCAAAATGGCCACAGCTTCAGACTTCTGAAGTACGGTAGTGAGGAAAACCACATTAAAAGTCTGAAGTCAAGGAAAGCAGAGGAAAGCCACACTCAGGGAGACCAGAAACATGTGGCCAGCCATAGTGGTAGGTTACAGTTAGATGCCGTCAGCTGTGGGAAAGGCCTCTTATCAGTGGGTGGCAACAGGGACCATATTCATAGACTGAGCCAAAATGGCAGTGTCAGGGGCTATGACTTAGACAGGAGGCCTAACGGAGGCTACCTCAGAGGGCTGAAGCACACCAGTGGAAAGGACTCTGTTGCAGACACGAAACAGAATGACCCTGGGGGAAGTCCTAACAGTGGGCTAAGGCAAATCCGCCATGACACCACGACAAAGCTGAGACAAAATGTCAGCCAGAGCATGACTGAAAATGGCACCGGCCATTTTAGAGAGCTGAGACAGGATGGTGGCATCAGCAAGAAGCAGCAGGTGAACTTTCAAGCGTGCACTCCTGGAAACATGAACTCTCTAGTGCCTAAAATGTTTGTCCGAACTGGTCCTGAAAGGGGGGATATCATGGTCTGGGAAGACCCCGATATGGAGATAGTGAAGGGGAGAGATGAACTTGATGAATGCTGTCCCTTTGACAGGCATCCCTGTTCACCCTCCTGGGAGCCAGGCATCTCCGATGCATGCCCTCCGCCTTATGACCTCTCAGTGTCCCCCCAGCACCACTCCCTGCAAGACCAAGTCAGCAGCACCGTTCAGCCCTGGGAAGGAGAGAGCCCCACCTGCTTTCCTTTCCAAGATCCTGAGCCTTATGCTCAGCATTCCCAGTCAGCCGTCGATTCCAAGCCTTTCCTGTGCTTTGCGTGTCCCAAGCAGTTCCGGCGTGCTACGGATCTGAAGGAGCATCTGCGAGTCCATACAGGCGAAAGGCCCTTTGGCTGCTCCGTCTGCGGTAAGCGGTTCACACAGAGCTCAGCCCTGGCGACTCACCGCAGGCTTCATACTGGGGAAAAGCCCTTTGAATGCACCGTGTGCTGTCGGCGCTTTAATAACTCTTCCAACTTTGCCAAACATCGCCGGCTTCATATGCAGGAGAGCACAGGATGTGCCGGTAAGGTTGCGGAGAAAATATCACGGAGTGGCAAGCCACAGTGACCACTTCAGGGGATCTTATCCTGTTAGACGGTATGTGGTGAAAAGTGCAGTCGAAGCTGAGTTATGGCAGCCCTGCAGATTTTCAAGATAAGAGACCAGCAGAGGTGGGTTGCCACCGTATCACAGTCCTGGTCTTCCTCGGTGGTCTCCCAATCCAGTTATTAACCAGAGCCGACCCTGCTTAGCTACTGAGATCTCATGAAGCTGGGCCATCCAGATGGTATATGGTCGCTGAAATAAGAGCCGTGATAATTCTAACACTGCAATACTGAATTCAGCATTCATTCAGAACCTCATTTCCTCATTTCAAAGTTCCTAGTACTCAAGGCTAAGGAGAGGCCTGAAATAAGTGGACAAAGCCTACTGAAGGTGGGGCTGAAGAGAAGCTGAGCAAAACTTGTAGTGATCAGTGCCTTGTGTAGTTGTGTGTCCTCTCCCAGGAATAGCAGAAGAAAAAATACAAAATAAACAAGGATCTGAAAATTTGGGTAGTTTGTGTAACTTTCTACAGTTGATATATTTTTTTCCCCTCTAGCAAAGTCCCACCCACAGGTTTTTAAGCATGCTCATCATGAAGAGGGCAAATTTAAAATGATTTTTGGCTCTAAAAATGTATTTGCCGAAATTGTTAGTAGATTGGGGAGGGAGGACTTAAATATATTTTCATGTTATGCCTGCAATGGTGCAACATGTGGGAAGGAATTAGAGGGGGGGGAAGGTCTTCCCAAAGTTTAACTATTGTCAGCCAATACCCAAAGCCAGAAATAAATTTTCTGAAAAGTTGTCATGTTCAAAAAACAAATAGTGGTAATTCTAATTTCTAAATCTACAGCATTTTTTTAAATCGTGTTTTATACCATGAAGAATATTCTGGTAATTGTGATGGGGGGGGGGAGAGTAGCAGAATAATTGCATGATCCCCCCCCCCCAAGAAAAAAAAAATCCCAGAAGAAAATTTGAGACTACGTACTCCATGAAACTTCTGCTAAAAATTCCATTCAAATTTACTTCCATCTAATTTTTATCTGTCTTTGCAGAAGTTATTTGTTTTCTGTCTTAAAGGAAACCTTATAAACTTTGGGCATCCCTCCTTTTAAAAAAAAATTGTTCTCTGTTCTTCATTTCTCTGTACATTTTGCAGTATAAGCCCTTTTACACCCTTTTGGTCTTCTCCAAGGATGGATGTTCATGGCTGCTTTCCATATGCAGCACAAATTGGTTGGTTCCATACAGAACACACGCATCTTTCTAAACAACACGCCTGCTTTCAAACCCACTTTTCAGAATAAATTTCAGAGTGTATCGAGCTGTCCTCTGAACTTGTATTTCTTTCATGATAAAGACTCAACATGCATTAATCCTAGAAAAAAAGGCAACTTGTCCAGAGTGTAGTAGTACAGGAGCCTCTATGAGGGTTAAAAAGATAGAATGAGCAAGAAGCAGAAGGCAACTCTTGCTGTTATCTTCTCATATAAAACTTTCCAGCTAGCATTCATGCTCCCCAGGTTCCACCCACCTATGAGAAGGGCTTTGAGCAAACAACTGAGACCCCAGTGCAAGGTTCTGCTGAATAAGGGGGCCATGCTGCTATTCCAACTGACTGTTCTGCTATCCTGCTGGGGGGGTTGAACTGAAATAAACGGGGGAGGGAAGAGATGATTTCTCGAGCAAGTTCTGCTTACTCAGGATCACTTTGGTGTAGTGGTTAGGAATGTGGATTCTAATCCGGGGGACCGGGTTTGATTCCCCTCTTCTCCACATGCAGCTGCTGGTGTGACCTTGGGTCAGTCATAAGTTCTTTCAGAGCTGTTCTCTTAAGGAGCTCTTTCAGCCCCACCTACCTCACGGGGTGTCTGTTGTGGGGAGGGGAAGGGAAAGGGATTGTAAGCTGCTCTGAGACACCCTTCGGGTATGAAGGGGTGGGGTATAAATCCAATCTCATAATCATCACTCGCAAAAATTTTGTTTTAAATTGCAATTTTAAATTTAGGCCAATGCATGGATACTTTTGGACTGTGGTTTCTTCTCTGGGACAAAACAAAGTCTGAAAGTATTGTGGTTGGCTAGGTGACATTGTCCTCATTATTGCCTTAAGATTTGTTAATGATATGCTCGACGATACTTCCACAAATTTTAAAGTCTTGTAGCATTCTAATGGGTTGTGTGAAGATTCTCTGCCAGCTCTTGTCCTTCTCCCAGAATTGAGACTGGTGGAGCCAGGAAACCAAGTAACCAAAAGGCTGAGAAAAACTGATAGTGAATCAGTAAGGGAGGGTATAAATTTAATAAATACCACTAGAAATACTATAAAATGTATGAAATGAAATATAATACATTAACAAAATGTAAATGGTTAACCACATAGTGAGAAAGTTGTACTGTTGATTGAATTTCAGTATAGACGTGAGTGGAGTCATTTTTAAAACTCTGATTTATAGGAAGGCACTAATTCTGCAGTGGTTCACTGAAGAGTGTTACCCGGTCAGCAGGATATATATATTTTATATGGTAATTTTATATGACTACACACACAGTTCTCAAGATGATTTTTTCCAATAATGAAGGCAATTTCTTGCCAAAACACACTGAACAATGATTTAAAGTGCTGTTATTTTAATTGATTAGGAAGCGTATTTTTAGTGTATTGTATTTCATGTATTACATTTCATATGTTTTCATGGTATTTCTAGTGGCATTTATGAAATTTATATCCTCCCTTGCTGGTTTCTTGTTTTTCTCGGCCTTTTGGTTACTTGAGTCATTTAGCTGGGTTCTTTTCTTTTCCCCCCTTTTCCTTTGTTTGTTACTGGAGGAAGGAAACCAGCCAGCTCTTGGGACTCCTCTTTACCTCAGAATGTTCCATTTCTGGGATTGACTTCTAGTATTCTAATGTGGCAGTGAGATGCCACTCTGCTTTTCCTCCAGCTTGCCCACATCTTTCTTTGTGCCCATCATCTCAGCGCTGGGTCCATATTGGTCAGAAACTTTTCAACAGGACAGGGGTGCCCACAGGGAACTTCACCCCTTGCATTCTGACTTGCTGGGTATCTGTGAGGACAACAAAAACCTTCTGCTCAGTATAAAGGGGACATTTCTGAGGAAAGTTGTTGCCAGATCTCCAGGGCTAGGTCCTAGAAGCAGGAAGTCTGCCCTTTGTAAAGAGCAGCTGGTCTCAAAATGTTCACCCTGGCTAATTCATAACTGCCATACTAACAACTGCAGGGAAGTTTCCTTTTTTGCTTCAGTTCTTGAGGCAATGCAAGTCCTCCCCAGTGTAAGATACTCACACCGTCCCAATGCCATTGTTTTGTCTGTCCACTGTGTATATACGTTATGCTGGCAAGACGTAGCCAATTTATGGCAAGGCCCAGTGTTCCCTCTAAGCTGAGTTAGTGTGAGCTAGCTCACAGTTTTTTAGCCTCTGGCTCACACATTTTTGTCTTAGCTCAGGAAGGGATGGCTCCAGAGCAAACTAATTTATGCAGCAGCCAAAGCTCCTGCTCACAACTTTAATGCCAGTAGCTCACAAAGTAGAATTTTTGCTCACAGGGCTCCATAGCTCAGAGGGAACATTAATGGCAACGCCAGCAAGCTTTCAAAGCAAACGAGAAGCAGAGGTAGTTTGCCATTACCTTCCTCTGCAGTCTTCCTTGGAGGTCTCCTATCCAAGTACTCACCATGCTTAGCTGCTGACAAAATTGGGTTATACCATGCCACCTCTATACAGTGGCGATCTTTAAAGGGACACTCCTCTGAGCTCAAGTGCCCCCCACATCATCAGTTAAAGTCGTAAGAACATCAGAAGAGCCCTGCTGAATCAGACCAATGGTCCGTCTAGCCCAGCATCCCATCTCACACAAGTGGGCAACCAGTTCCTCTGGACAGCCAACAACAGCACAAAGGCCAAGGCCTTCCCCTGATATTGCCTCCTGGCTCTGGCATTTTGAGGATTAGTGCCTCTGAATGTGGAGGTTCCCCTCAGTCACCATGGCTAGTAGCCATTGACAGATCTATCCTCCATGAATCTATCTAATCCCCTATGAAAGCTGTTTATTCCTATGGCCATCACTACATCCCCTGGCAGCCAATTCCACATTTTAATCACCCTCTGTGTAAAGTAGTATTTCTTTTTGTCCATCCTGAACCTACTGCCCATCGGCTTCAGTGGATGCCCTCAAGTTCTAGTATTCTGGGAGAGGGAGGAAAATTCCTCTTTGTCAACTCTCTCCATCCCACGCATAATTTTATAAACCCCTATTATGTCCCCCCCTTAGTCATCTCTTTTCTAAACTGAAAAGTCCCAGACTCTCCAGTCTTTCCTCACAGGGAAGGTGCTCCAACCTCCTCATCGTATTGGTTACCCTCCTCTGCAATGTCCCAGGGGTCCCCAACATGGTGACCGAGACTGCCCCGCACCCACCAAGTTCTTTTAGAAAGTGGGTGTAGAAAAAGCCCAGCAGGAACTCATTAGCATAATAGGCCACACCCAACAGCAGGAACTCATTAGCATATTGGGCCACACCCCTGACAGCACAGCTCATTAGCACATTAGGCCACACCCACATGTTACCAGACATAAGAACATAAGAACATAAGAGACGCCAATGTTGGATCAGGCCAAAGGCCCATCCAGTCCAACACTCAGTGTCACACAGTGGCCAAAAATACCAGGTGCCATCAGGAGGTCCAGCAGTGGGGCCAGGACATTAGAAGCCCTCCCACTGTTGACACCCCCACCCCCAAGCACCAAGAAGACAGAGCATCACTTGCCCCAGAGCCCCTAGCTATACCTTGTGGCTAATAGCCACTGATGGACCTCTGCTCCATATGCTTATCTAATTCCCTTTTGAAGCCGTCCATGCTTGTAGCCGCCACCACTTCCTGTGGCAGTGAATTCCATGTGTTAATCACTCTTTGGGTGAAGAAGTACTTCCTTTTATCCGTTCTAACCCGACCGCTCTGCAGTTTCATGGAGTGCCCACGAGTTCTTGTATTGTGAGAAAGGGAGACGTGGTCATCCAGCCACACCCACCTTTTGCTTGTTACTCTGTTTACCTTGTTTGTTGTCAAAACCCAGGGCTTTTTTTTGTAGCAGGAACTCCTTTGCATGTTAGGCCACACACCCCTAATGTAGCCGATCCTAATGAGTTTCTGCTGTTGGGTGTGGCCTATTATGCTAATGAGTTCCTGCTGGGCGTGGCCAACTTGGGAGCCAGCCGGAACTCCGTTCCTGCCCAAAAATAGCCCTGGGTGTGGCTAGGTGCGGCTTTTGCCCAGCGGGGCTTCTGATTGGCTGTGCAGATTAAAAGGCGTCCTGTAAAGCACAGGTTCTGCCTGAAATGCTGAAGAGTTAGAACTATATATACGCTGCTCCTTGATATTTTTTTGGTTGGCTCTGCATCTTGTGGCAGCCATTTTGTAATTGTGCTCGCTGCCCTGTATCAGAATTCCAAAGGTGCCTGCCAGCTCAAAAAGGCAGGGAACACGTCAATTAAACAAACCTGGTCACTATTCAATGCATGGCGCATACATTTTTTCCCATTACTTTTTTTAATGTTTGTTTAGTCTGTACATTGTGAATCAGACACTTTTAGCAATTGCTTGGTTTAAAACACGAACACGCTCCAGTCCCCCACCCCGACTGAGAAACACACACACTGTACAGTTCCCAAGGGGCGCAACGAGGGCTTATCGCAGTCCAGGCCCATCAGCTGCGTGGACGACAAAAGGGGTTCTATACATGTTTTAGTACACTTTGTTAACAACGAGGAATCTTGGCACCAAAGGAACTGCACTCTGTGGCCAAAGGAAGAAAGGGGTAGTTAGAAAAGAAGAATTTATATATAAATGTATTTATATATCTGTATTAATATAAAAAGTCATCTGCTAACACGATAACGAAGGGTTGGATTCAATCGATGGCATGACTCTTCATTGAGAGGTTGCGACAGCTACCGGTCTGGGGAGTTTTGAGTCCTGTCTCAGGAATATCCGTCTCCCAGTTTGGCCAGCACATGAAGATTATCTTGCCATGAAGTCTTAAACACAGAATCCCAAATTCTCCAAAAAAAGGGGAGGGCAGAAGTTATTCTTGGATGACAGCTGTGTGTCTTGTGGTGTCTTTTAAGATGGAGTCTCTTCCCCCAGTCCCTGTTTCACAATTCCAATACAAAGGCAGAGAAGGCACTGCAGGAACCCCGCAGGACGTGGCATCCTAGCAGCGCACGATTCAGGGCTCAGAATCCAACTAGGGGTGTAACAGGCAGGGCAATGCAACGGGAACGCTTAGTCGTGCTCTCCGCACCAAGCAGGTCTTCGAGAAAACTCTTGCTTCCTGACCAGAATTAAAACCTGAACTTCCCAGGTCTCCGACCCACTACGTTCTCGTAAGCCTCTGCCACAGAGCTTGACCCAAAGCACGCTGCCTCCCGGGCCCTTTGCTCTAAAATCCATCAGATCCCTTCCACCCTTCCAGAGATATCTGTCCATCCTCCTCTCTTCCAGAATTAGGACAGTGATGTGTTTCAGGGGCTAAATTCACACTGTGCCCGCAAGCAAAGCTCAACCACTACAGAGAACAGAAACAGCTACTGGGGGGAAGGGGGGACACGACGAAATGGCTCCTAGAAAGAAGGACGACTGCAAATCTTCCTTGTTAAAGAGCTCTGATGCAACATCAGCAGGGGTTAGGTGAGCCTTTGCTAGCAAGTACTGCATGCCTACATTCTGCCATAAAAGATCTGGCTAGAAAAGAACTGGCATTCTTTCTGCTCTGCCCTCTTCATCCAAAAGAAAAAAGAAAAAAAATGCAGTGAACGAATACCACTTTCTAATCATTCTAATAATGAGTACTAAAAGGGTGCTAAGGATAACTAACTCATATTAAGTGAAGCCAGGAAACTTTAAAAAAAACCCCACCACACCTAGAAAAGATAAGACTCCATTTTCTCATATGTAGGAAACATGTCACCATTGTGAACGTGATAAGCAATGCCTGGCTGAACATGATAAAATCGGTTTTCTAGCTGAAACAGGGATTTCACAATTGTGAAACCTGACTTGTGCATTCCAGACCTGTAAATTATTCCAAGAGAATTTTCTTTGGGAGTCCACAAGCTTGGGCCGAGGGTAGAGAGTTTGGTGATTCTGAATCAATATTTTCCCTTGCAAGAAAGCACAGAAACATTTTCCCCCCTCTCTTCCCCCTCCCACCCCCATCTTCTGCTGGGTTTCCCTGTCCAATCAGGAAACTATAATTCAACAATTCAACAGCTGTATCACCCACTGGATGCTTTGTAGAGAACTCATTTTATCAAGTTTAAAGGGCAGGTAAGCATACAGATTAACCTTTGGGGGTCCGAAAAGTTTGGAGATTACAATTCATTACGACAGGATTTCCACGGATGCAATGCTCAATTAAAATGATGGAGGAGCTACTTCTGATAAAGCAGATATGGGATAAAGAGACTGCAGTGTATTCATAAAGGGATTTTCTTTTCTTTTCTTTTTTACAAATGTTCAACTCTACTGGCAAATCAGGAAGCTAGGGAAGAGAATATGGAAAAACGGTTCCCATATAAAGCAGACAGAAGTAGAAGCAGAAAGAGTCCACTGAATTTCAGCTACAGGTTCAGGTTTTTAAACTTCGGGATAAAGATTAAAAACAAAAGGAAGATCCAGTCCCTACCACTGCTGGAGGCAAGGCATTGGCCTGACGGGACTGATCAGCTGATCCAATTTTTTGTTGTGAGGTATCTTTTCACCTGCAAAAGCACATCCCCCTCCTGCCTCTCACTTTCTCCATCATGCATCTAGCTTGTTTAAATGGCACGCTGGATCACCAAATGCTGCCCCAAACTCTCTCTACCCAGATCACAAAGGCAGGGGGAAAGAATACCCCGCAGAGAATGGAATGTCCAACATAGTGTCCAAAGGAGGAAGAGAGGCGCTTTTAGAACTCTTTGGTTGTTTGTAGTACATCGGCCACGCCCTCCCGCAATAATGTGCCTGGCAATTTGCTGAGAGAAGGAAAAGGGGGGGGGGGAGGCGGGAATCAGGGAAACACATGGGGAAGCTGGACTGTGAGCAAGCATCTCTTTTGTCTGTATCGCATCAGTGTTTCCACTCTGGGGATGGAGTCCCATGACAGAACCGAGGACGAGGGTGTTATCATGAGGCATGCCAAGAAAGGGAGGGGCCCATGGCTCAGACCTAGGAGGAGAATGCACATGAACTGCAGAGGAGCGGAAGTAATGTATCACCCTGGCCTGGGATGTGAGTGGTCACCATTCTGGTTAGCTTTCCTACCTCAACCAACGGGGGGCGGGGGGCACAAAGAAGTGCCTTGGCCTATGCATGAGTGACCACTGGCCACAGGCCCCCCCCACTGCAGATCGACTGTATTTGCAGCTTGAGAAAAGGCATTCGGCATTCATGTTGGGGGTGGGGATTCATTTACACGAGGTGAGAGGGCGCATTGGCTAATGCAAGAATCTTAGCATTCTGGGGCACAGAGGAAAGGTCCCATGCCACACTTTCAGTAAGGGACAACCAAAACTGCTTTAGGCCAATTCACACGTTGCTAAAAAGAACCTGTGTGTGATACTGTTCCCTCCTGGGACTGTACCATTTTAGAATGCGGCTAGTGGAAATGCATGTCTGAATGCTCTCTCATATTCAATTCTCTCTACCTATGCAAAAGCAGCACAGCAGGGAGGCTATGCTCAAACCCTGACAGTCTTTCCATGTACAGAAAAAAAAATATGTGAGGGGGAGACATTCAAGTACGTAACCCTTAGCTGCAGAACAAAGTGACACAATCCCAGAGGACTGTACCATCTTTCTCTCAGTGTGAACTGGTTCTAACATTCCACTCCGGCTACAGGGGACTGCAGAAAGCACCACGCCTTCCTGAAAACGGGAGCCCAGTTGGGTGCCTGTTTCCTTTCAGCACCTGTGCTTGGGACAGAAACGCTGCCATTATGCCCCCCACCCCGCCCACTTTCCCAGAACTTCCCTCCCCAAAGCTACCCTTGCTCTTGGTGCGAAAACGTCACCTTTGGGGCAGTCCTTTCCCCACCCCCACCACATTCGTCCTGGGGAATCCATGGTGGACAGGATTGCGCCTAGTTTTGTTTTAGGGAACAGAGAAACCGCAGGGCGTGGCCCAGGGACTGTCCTTCCTCATGCATTCCATCTCTGGCCTGACACAGCTTACCTCATGCGGGCGTTTGTGACTCCTCCCCAACCCCTCCCCACGGTGCCACCAAACAAGCACGCTTTGCTTACTATATGGCCCCCCTCCCCTTATGGCTTACAATAGCCCGGAACTAGCCCCCTTTCTCACCCTCGGACCACCCATCTTTTCTGCAGCTCCCTCCACACTAGGGCTGCTGTTCCTTGTGGCTCCCCATGGCGGCGAAGCGCTCCATCTTGTGAATGTGGCGGTGCTTCTTGAGCCCGTAGGTGTTGGAGAAGGCTTCCCCGCAGGTGCTGCACTTGAAGGGCCGCCCGCCCTGGTGGGCCTGGAGGTGCTTGCTGAAATACTTGGGGTCCTTGAAGAGCTTGAGGCAGGCCCCACATCTCAACTCGCGCTTGGCGTCGTGGGAGCGCTGGTGGCGCAGGATGGACGACAGGTAGAAGAAGCTCTTGGAGCAGCGGTCGCAGCGGTAGACCTTCTCGCCCAGGTGCACTCGCTGGTGCTCCAGGAGGTTGCTGCGGTAGCGGAAGGTCTTGCCACAGGTGGGGCAGCGCTGGGGCCTGGCCACCACGTGGAGGCGCTGATGCTCGGCCAGGCTGGATGACTGCGCAAAGCGCTTGTTGCAGAGGGCACATTTGTAGGCCCGCTCGCCCGTGTGCACCACTTTGTGTTGGCGCAGGTACCACGAGCGCAGGAAGCCACGGCCACAGACGGCACAGCGGTACGGGCGCTCCTCTGTGTGGCACCGCTGGTGGCGCATCAGGAGAGCGGCCTCCCAGAAGCGCTTCCCACAGACTGGGCAGGAGAAATGGCGCTTCTGGAGATGGGTACGGCGGTGCAGCAGCAGGTCGTAGGCCCCCGCGAAACTCTGCCCACACACCGAACAGGCCAGTGTGCGGCGCACCAGGTGCACATACTTGTGGGTGACGAGCCCCAGGAAATGCTTGAAGGTCTGGCCGCAGATGGAGCAGGAGAAGCGCTCCCCGCTCGGCAAGGTGGGGTGGTGGTCTTCGTAGGATGCCGCCATGTTGTCGCCGCCGGCCAGCCCGTTCTCCAGGGGAGCCACTGCAGCTGCCGTCTCATCCGGGGGCAGGAGCCGCTCGGGGGCCGCCTGGTGGACCAGCTTGTGCCACATGAGGTTCTCAATGAAGCCGAAGCACTTGCCGCAGGCATCGCAAGGGTACGGCTTCTCGGCCACGTGGACCTCCTTGTGGCTCATGACGTGAAAGAGGTCGGGGAAGCGCTCTCCGCAGTCGGAGCACCCGTAGGTCAGCCCCTCAGGAGGAGGGGGCAGCGAGGGCCCCATGGATGTCAGCGAGGGCCCAATGGGGGGCAAAGAGCAAGGAAGCTGCAGCCGGTGGATCTGCTTGTGCCGGGTTAAGCTCTGCGGGTAGCCAAAAACCTTCCCGCAGATCTCGCACTTGTAGGGCCTCTCCCGCGTGTGCACCACGTGGTGCTTGCTGAGGTGGAAGGACTCGCGGAAGCGCTTCCCACACACCGCACACTGGTGGGGCTTCTCCCCTGTGTGGATCCGCTCGTGCCGTTTGAGCGTCTCCCTCCGCCCAAACCCACGGCCACAGATCCCGCAGCAGAAGTTCTTGCCCGCCGCCGTCCCCACCAACAGCGGGTGGGCCCCCAGAAGCCCATACGGGGCTGGCTTGGTGTCTCCGTCAGAGCTGGTAGCCTGCCCGTCTTGGGGGAGGAGATAGGCCCCTGGCGGTAGGTAGGACAGGGCAGCGTTGGTGCCATCCTTGGGCAGCTGGGCTCCCTCGTGTTGCAGCTGCCGATGGCGCAGGAGGTTCTGGGGGGCGACGTAGCCCTTGCCGCAGATGTCACACTTGTATTCCGGGCGCGGGGGGATGGTTCCGGGTGGGGCGTGGGTGGCCTGGTGCTTGAGCAGATAGGAGGCATCCCGGAATTCCTTGCCGCATACCCCGCACTGCACTCGCAGGAGGTCCGAATGGGTCCGGACGTGACGCTTCAGGCTCTCGCGACGGTTGAAGCTCTTCTGGCACACGGAGCACGAGAACGGCTTTTCGCCGGTGTGGATGATCTGGTGCTGGTGCAGGTGGCTCGGCTTCTTGAACACTTTCCAGCACAGAGAACAAGTGAAAGGGCCTTCTGTCTGAGCAATGGCGGCACCCAGAGCAGAGGCAGCCGTCACCCCGGTGGGTGTTGGTACGACCTGCGGGTTGCTGCTTTGGGAGGGAGGTTGGGCAGCTCCCTCAGCACTGGGGGCAGCTGCCGCGTTGGCTACGGCGGCTGCAGCAGCTGCCGCAGCCGCTACATTGGCAGCTGCCGCATTGGCGGCTGCCGTGACATCCTCAGAGTCCTTGTGACAGCGTCGGTGCCGGATGAGACTGGAGATATGGTTGTAGGTGCGCCCGCAAGTGGTGCACTCGTACGGCCGTTCGCCTGTATGCACCAGCATGTGCTGTACCAGGTGGGACGACTGCTTGAATGACTTCTGACACACCCCACACGGGAAACGCCGATCGATGAAGTACTTTAAGCGCCGGAAGTAGTTCTTGTCGTCCTTGATGGCCTGGCTGTCAGGGGTAACGGAGGAGGTGGCCTGCGGTGGTGCCTGCCCACGTTTCAGGCTATTGAAGAGGTGCTGGTGGCCGGAAAGATCCACGATACCCCACTGTGGAGTGTTGTAGGCAGCAGCGGCAGCTGCAGCAGCTGCTGTAGTATCAAAGAGAGGCTGGCCGGTTGGCGGAACCACTGCTGGCGCACTGTATGGGGGTTGTGGCTGTTGTGGTGGCTGCTGCTGTGAGGCCGGGGCCCCAGGGTCGGGTTTCTTGACTTGCACGTTCGTGGAAGAGGTGGAGGAGGAAGAGGAAGAGGAGGGCCCTTCAGTTTTGGGCTTAGAAGTGCCGACGGTTGAAGGGATGCGGTCAAAGTGAGCAGGCGGGGCAGCAGTGGGTGGCTGGGCGTACTCGTAAGGCGGCTGCGGGCAGGGGAGGGTGGCGACTGCTTTGGCGTGTTCGTGGTTATAAGCCTCCATAGGTTCAAAGCGCTGGTGGTTCAGGAACTCCAGGAAGTCGAAGGGGTAGCTCTGGAAATGCACACCCTCGTCGCTCGCTGCATTGGCTTCCATCTCCGCCCGGGAGGGGGCACTGCCTGGACAAAGAAATGAAACATGCCATCAACATACATACATATGCACACTACATACATCAAGTTTCTCCCCTGCAGCAGCTCCTTGTTTTTTCAGGCCTAACAATAACTCACTGCCTTATACTGAATCAGACCCTTGGTCCATCAGTCATTATTGCCTACTCAGTCTGGCAGCAGTTCTCTGGGGTCTCAGGCAGAGGTCTTTCACACCACCTACTACCTGGTCCCTTTAACTGGAGGTGCCAGGGATTGAACCTGGCACCTTCTGCATGCCAAGCAGATGCTCTGTCACTGAGTCACAGCCTCTACGTATTGTGAGAAGGACAGAATGTGCAATTAAAAAGATCCTAATTACTATCTGGGCTAATGAGCTCTCTGAAGCATCCATACCTCATTTTATGTGGCTCATTAGCTGTCAGATGCTTGATACCACTCCAATTTTATGATGCCAGCAGGGTTCATATTTTGTCTGTACTAGATGAACACTGAGAACTCCCGTGTCACTAGTTCGATGAAGATTTATGGAGTTCTATCCACTACAGCAGTTTAAAGCATGAGTTATGAGCTGGACGACAGGGATAGGAATTTCAGTTCAGCTGTGAATTCACTGACTGGGAAGATGACATACAGGTCTGGGTTGGAAGGCAAATGAGAAATCAGAAAGTAAGTATATGGCCTGAGAAAGTGTGCAAGGCCAGGGTCACTGCGGGGAGTCCAGGAGCCCTACGCTTGCCCGGATCTAGCCACATGCTTCCCCTGTAGTTTATGGCCTGCTCCTACAGCATAGTTTGCAAAGTGCAAATATCTCCTCGCTGCTTGTGGCACGCCATGGAGTTGGCTTTGAACCTGAGAGATCCATGTCTCAATTCAGACACAAGACTTTCAGCGTGGCCTGGGGCAAGGCTCACTCTGTCTCAGCCTCTCAGAGTGATTATAAAATAAGACAGCCCCATATACAAGCCCCTGAACACCCAAGAAAGGGGAAGGCAAGATACATATCTGGCTAATAACCACTTGCATGGGACTGGAGATTGGAAGATTTTTGGCCTCTTCTCGTCCCATGCTTTCTAACTTATCCTTAATTTGAGCATGTATACTTTAGGGTTTATTCAAGTCTAAATTCTTTTGCACTCAAGACATCCCAAAGTTCTGCTTCCAAAGCAACGAATTGTTCAACCCGTGTAAACTAAAGAAGATTAATTCAGTTGCATAAATTTTTATTTACTTCTCCAATGATTCATACCACTTTTCCCCCCAGTGGGGGACCCAAACCAGTTTACATAATTCTCCCCTCCTTCATTCTAACCTCACGATAACCCTGTGAGGTAGGTTAGGATGAGGGTGTGCAAGAGGCCCAAGGCCACCCAGCAAACTTCCATGGCAGGATGAATTCAAGCCTGAGTATTTCAGTTCCTAGGCTACAACCATTACACCACATTCTCTCAGACACGAGAAGAGTCAAGGACCAAGGTTCTTAAGGTTTCTTTTCTCATACATTATAACAAGGCCCCCCAGTCTAATGTCCATCGACACCATGGCACACCCCAACACCTCACCTGACAACCCACCAAGTGTTTTCACAAAGTGGGTGGAGTCAAGTGGGGCTCTTGCCCAGCAGAGCTTCGAATAGGCCACAGGAGATCGGATTGGCTGTGCAGGTTAAAATAATGTTGCTTTGGCGGCAGCTGCCACCGAGTCCTGGTTTTAGTCCCTCTCACTCTTTCTCAGTGTATATTTAAAGTTACCCCTCTTCTCCCCTGCACCTGGACATATGGAGCAGAGGTCCATCAGTGGCTATTAGCCACAAGGTATAGATAGGGGCTCTGGGGCAAGTGATGCTCTGTCTTCTTGGTGCGTGGGGGGGGGGGTCAACAGTGGGAGGGCTTCTAATGTCCTGGCCCACTGCTGGACCTCCTGATGGCACCTGGTATTTCTGGCCACTGTGTGACACAAAGTGTTGGACTGGATGGGCCTTTGGCCTGATCCAACATTGGCATCTCTCATGTTCTTATGACTTCCTCTGGGTGTGTGCATGGCCCTACCTCCTGCGGCAGCCATTTTGTGGTTCTGCCCACCATCTTGTTGTCAGCATTCCACAGGGCCCAGAGACTCAAAAAGGCTGGGGAGCCCTGTGTTATACCATAAGGATAGGAGGAACAGCAGCTGACTTGCGTGTGTCCCCCCCCCACCCGCACAGGATCATCTTAAGTTGCCCTTAAACATCTTTTTAAAAGATCTGACAGGTTTGTGAAGGGGTCATTGCTCAGCGATACGAACATCTGCTTTGTGTGCAGAAGGTCCCAACTTTAATCTTCCATTGAAGGATCAGGTAGCAGGCAATATGAAAGGCCTCCATCTAAGACCATGAAGAGCCACTGCCTGTCAGAGTAAATAATATGGGGCAAGATGGAGCAATGGCACAGTACAGGGTAACCTCACCTATTCCCCAATTTCAGGAGTCTTTCATCAATACAGGTTAGCCATTAAGAGCTAAAAATGGTACCTGTGCATCCAGTGGTACTACACCTCTAGTTTCCAAACACACTAGCCAAACAGTGGCCCCGGTCACACGGAGCATTAGGCACGCTAGAGAGACAGAAGATAGGCGGATTTTCCAGGCGCGATCTCACCGCCACATCTGGGAAGCGTAGAGCTCCCGTGGCACACCCGAGGCTTCCCGCCGAAGATGCGCGGTAAAAAAACTAGTACCTCGGAGGTACTAGTTTCCGGAAACCACAGGGCAAGGGCGGGCGTCTGATCGCGTTTCCGGTGGTAGTTCTGGTGCCCGCCCATGTCCCCTCGCAAAAAGGTGTTTTTTTCCCCAAGTCTCCACGGATGCGCACAAGCACCCAACGAAGCATGCGCACATTTCAGTTTAAAAAAACAAACACAACCCCGTTTGCCGCGCCGCTACGCTTCTTTGCCGCGTCGTGTGATCGGCACCTTCCCCCTAACCACGGGAGCTCGACGGGACCTCAACTCGACACCTGATCGCGCAGTCGCGCATTAGTTTGCTTCGGGGCAAACAGCCACGCCTCCCCCCCCCCCATTTCCCTAGCCGTGTGGCCGAGGCCAGTGTATGGTTATCACTTACCACACCTTGCTTGCAATTTTGGGTTGGCTACTGCCACAGCTAGAATTGGGCTAGTTGGAACTTTGGTGTGATTCAGCAAGGCAATTCTTCCCTGTTTATGTTGAGTAGAGGCACCTTTTCAAACCCTTTTTTATGTTTCAAGTGGCATCAGAAATCTTCCCTTCCCCCCCAGTTCAAGACTGTAAAGATAGCTCAAACTAAAGATGTATGGAAGAAGGTAATGTATAGGACTAAAGCTATTGATAGATGATTTATCACATGCCTAGCAAATACACTAGGAACTGTAACCACTCCATATCCCTTGGATTCATCAACACTATATCTCTCACCCTACCTCCCTGACCTGAACAAAGAAATGTGATTTCTCATTCACAATAGGAGCTAACATCTCAGTCAGCCCCTACCCCTTAAAGACATTAAAAAGTTCAGCTATACTTTTCTAACTCGATCTCCTTAGGTTTCACTCTGTACTTCCCTAGATTAGATCTGACTTTCCATTAATCTTGCTTTGTCCATCTACCACCAGCTGTGAGTGATCCTCACCCACTCGGAGTAGATTGATTATTCTTCGGACTGGATCTTGTTTTAAGCTGGCCTCTCTTTGTAATATCTCCCCCTGCCCCAGCTTTCTGTAGTTTGTAGCTTTCAGTATAAATGTGTCTGCCTTATGGATGAACGTTTTGTGCATCTGACAAAGCAAACTCTGACTCATGCAGGCTTATGCTAGAACAAACATTAGCTTTTAAAGTGCCATTGGATTTGAAAAGAAGGTTTTATTTTATTTTGCAACCTGTATCCTATAACAGGGGCTGCGGTGGCTCAGAGGTTAAGACGCTGAAGCTGCAGACCTGAAGGTCTGTAGTTCAGCAGTTCCAGACCCTGGTGCCGCATGACGGAGTGAGCTCCCGTCTCTGGCCCCAGCTCCTGCCAGCCTAGAAGTTCAAAAGCGAGAAATTGCAAATAGATAAATAGGCACCGCTTCGGTGGGAAGGTAACAGCGTTCCATGTGACTCAGCATTTAGTCATGCCGGCCACCTGACCACGGAAACGTCTTCGGACACCGCTGGCTCTTCAGCTTGGAAACGGAGATGAGCACTGCCCCCTAGAGTCAGATTTGACTAACTTTTGAGCAAGGGAAACCTTTGCCCTTACCTGTAGGTGGCCAAACTTGCTTAACATAAGAGCCACACAGGAAAAAAAAATCAGATGTGACAAGACATGAACACACATGTTTTTATTGAAAAATATACGAATTTGCATATTAAATTAAAGAGACAAATGCCTTCTCTGAGCCAAGCCAGTCTGCTGGTGTGGCGGGGGCTGGAGAAAACAAGAGGGAGAGGGGGGGGGACAGAAAGAAAGGTAGAAAGAAAGAAAGGTGGAAAGAAAGCAAATAGATGGGGGAGGGAGAGAGGGAGGGACGGAGAGGCAGAAAAGAAAACAACTTTGAATGTAAATGCATCCTCCAAGCCCCCCACGCTGGCTGGCTTGGAGAAGGGATTTAAAGAGACAAATGCGTCCTCCAAGCCAGCCGGCCGGCCGGGGTAGAGGAAAGCTTTGAGAATGCATTTAAAGTTAAAGTAGCTTTCTTTCTCTGCTCCCCCCCACCTCAAGGCTACCCAGGGAGGGAAACGCTGGCTGGAGAAAGGAAGACCAATCAGGGAGGCATGCCCTCCCCTTCGCTTCCCCAGCTACCCTGCCGGGAGCTGCATAATATGTGTGAAAGAGCCACATGTGGCTCCCAAGCCAGTTTGGCCACCCCTGTCCTAGACCACCCTGACCTGGATGGCCCTGGCTAGACTGATCTTGTCAGATCTGAGAGGCGGCAGGGGCAGCCCTGGGGAGTACTTGGGAGGCAGGGTCGCTACACAGAGGCCGGCAGTGGCAAACCACCTCTGGATGTCTATTG